GCTGCTTTCTCTCCGGTCAGGGAAAGAACAGTATAAGGCAGCCCTTCCCTTTGGATAGAAATCCAGATTGGGAGGAAAAGGGAGCGATGGCGGTCAGTGACTTCCAGGTGAGCAAAGCATCAGCCCCATAGAACTGATGTGACTTTCTGCCAGGCGGGAGAATCGGAGGGGGGTCTTGTGCCACCTATTTGGCGGCAGAGAAATAGATTTAATGGCAGAGAAGTATTTGAAACGCCCCTTTTACTGAGAAAAAGTATGCTGTTTTCTTTTTCGGGGGGGGGGGATTATAAAATACAGACCTATGTGCAAACATGCTGGCTGGGGAATTCTGGGAGTTGGAGTCCATACACCTGAAAGTTGTCCAGGTTGAGAAACTGGCATAGCATGTTCTGCAGAGGCAACTCTAGGTCTGGCCGGGGGTGTGCAAATGCAGCAGAGACCCCCCCCAAGAAGAGGGGATTCCTCGTATGGTTTCTTGCAAGACAAGATCTCCTTCAAGGGAAGCAGGTTTTCCCCCAAAGGTGGAGGGATCTCCCCATGTAATGGAATGGCTTGTCTGGGGAGGAGCCTCATATAATTCTTTACAGAATGAAGGGGGGTGAAGAGGGGGTCTCCCCAAATAATTCCTTGTAGGAAAATCCCACGGGGGGGAGGTTCCTCACATAATTCCTACCACTGGAAGAGCTCCTTCCTTAAAAGGGGGGTATCTCCCCATGTTTTTCCTTCGGGAAAACCATCCTGCTTATATGGGGGTCCTCATTTAGTGATGGGGGGCTCCTCTCATCCTTTACAGAGGGGGAGCACTCTCCTTAAGTGGGGAGGGGTCTCCCCATGTCTTTCCTTGGGGGAAAACCACCCTCCTTATATGGGGGTCCTCTCATGCTTTCCAGAGGGAGAGCTCTTTCCTTAAGTGGGGAGGGGTCTCCCCATGTTTTTCTTTGCAGAAGAATGTGAGGCCCCCTACCACAGCTGTCTCAAGGGGGGCTCCCCTTCCTCAGTGATTCAAGCCAGCGGGGTTGGGGGTCCCTCCTCAGCGCCCCCCCGAGGGGTGAAACGGGGGGTGAGTCGGGCCAGCCCCCCGCCCCCTCTCCTCCGCGCGATGCATGCTGGGAAGAACGCCGGGGGGACCTGATACTCAC